CATTTACTTGGCAAAATGTCACCTCCTTAAAGAAGCATTTCCTGACCACTGGATAGGTGATACCCACCCCTTATTAATTTCTATGTAACAGTTATTAGCTAAACTACATTATTTGTTTGCTTATGGATTACCTGACACCTTCACTCCCAACCCAGGTCCTACTTTCCCCTGAGGGGAAGAAGCTCCCTGGGGACAGGAACCTTGTCTATCTTGCTCCACACTGTATCTTCAGCCCCTAGAACACTGCCTGGCACTCAATACCATTTACCGGATGAATAAATGAGGATTGGGGAGCAGACTACAGTCATTTTCAGTTTTTATTTTTATATTTCAGATGAATGTGAATTTTTCCATAAACTGCATGTACTACTTGGGTAATAAGAAAAAAGAAAATAATGCCAAAATGAAATAAAATTGAAATAATAAAATTAGCATGTTTAACAAAACAGATGAAAGCAACATAAAACCTTCCCCCAAAATCTATTATATAGATTGCCAGTAATTCATATCCACTCTGTTTATTAAACCTGAAGCATTGGCCAATTTAATGATCTGCTTGCAAATCAGGACACAACCATGGACTTTTAAATAATAGTTCTCTCTCCTGGGCTCATAGTAAGATTGCTGTTTGAGCTTTCCACTTTATTCCAATCTCCTACACCCAGTGCATTTTTTTTACCTTTCTGCTTTTGCCAATGCTGTGACCTCTCATGGAATGTCCTCCCCCAACTTCTCCTGTCCAAAATCATCCTTTAAGGCACATTTAAATCTATCAAGAAATGGCCACAACCAACCAACTGTGCTTCTAAAAAGCTCTGTGCTTTATCAAAAGGCATCCTGTCTTTGTGTCTCCCTCAATCAATTACAGTTGGTTGAAAGCAATATTTTTATATATATAACTACACTGAAATGTCACTATACATTTTCCAACTGAATAAAAAAAATCACTGCTAGCAGGAAAATTCGGTCAAAGGCAGACGGGAGAAATTGCTTAGATATCTTTCTCAAATGAGAAAATACCAGGTGGTTTTCAAGGGTTCAAAAGCCATTTCCCACGCATTCCCATGAGGAGGAAGATGGTATATACACAATCATTACCTGGATTTTACCAAAAAAAAATGAATGCAAGGAAAACTGACTAGGAAGCTTGGAATAATCTTTTCCAATGTTATTGGGCACTATCCACTTATGTCCCGTTTTAACAACCAGTCAGCATTGATTGAGTGCTTACAGTGTGCGAGGCACTGTGCTAAATGCATTATATACATTACTAGAGGCCCGATGCACGAAATTCATGCAAGAGTAGGCTTTCCTTCCCCCGGCTGCCGGCACCGGCTTTCCTCTGGCATCCAGGACCCGGGCTTCCCTTGCAGCCCCTGTTTCGTCTGGAAGGACGTCCAGAAGATGTCTGGTCTAATTAGCATATTATGCTTTTATTATTATAGATTATTATAGATCTTATTTACTCCTCCCAATAGCCCAAAGTGATCATTATTAGTAGTATCCTATTGGAAAGGGTCATTGAGAGGTCACTGCCTATAGACCTTTGAGCTGGATAGGGGCATCTGGAGGCTCCTCATGCCCTCCCCTGTCCTTGGAATGTGTACTCTGCCCATTATTCCCATAGTGGAAGCTATTCCAAGGATGTAGCCTTGAAAGAATAAGATGTTGTTGGGACCATTTGGACAACATATGTGACTGAACCCCATTAAGGCTGCTATATAAACTTTAAGATTCTGGTTTGGGGTGCAAAGATCTACTAGTCTTGTGGCAACCAAGACTTGTAGGTAATTTGTCTGGCTTATTATCCCTGGCACCTACCAATCTGGAGTGGTCTGCTTTTGTCTTCAGCCTCTCCTTGCCCTCATATGCTGGGGCCAGTTTCAGATTTCACCCAAAAAGCTCCCAAGGTTTCGAACCAACATATTTCCATTTTACAGAGGAGGTAACTGATGCACAGAGAGGCTCAGCAATTTTCCCAGGATGACAAGGCAACAAAGTGTTAGAGCTGATTTGAAGCCATTTTGCCTGATTTCAAAACACCCATTCTTTGCCACTCTAACATGCTTTTTTTCTATTCTAAAAACTATAGTTAACATTAAAGATAGCAGTTAATACAACCTTAACTAAAAATTACCAGTTCTAGACTATTTTCACCCTTTTCAATTATTTTTAAGTAACACAAACTCAGTGTTCAACATAAATTAATTAAATATGGGTAGAAGTTAAATTGAGCCTGTCTTCTTTTTAATGGGCCTCTCTTTTTCTCCAGCATTTCATGCATTGCAACGTTGATTTGACAATTGTTATGCCAGAAAGTCAATAGTACTAATTTTCACACTTCATTAATAAATAAATGGAGGCCTCAGAAGTTATGGGATGGATCCATTGATCCCCTGGGAATGGAGAGGGAATTCTAATTAAGCCACTTCAATCAAACAATGCCAAGCTGTAGGCAAGAGTTTAGAGATCAAAACATGCTCAAGGTAATAATCCCAGACTTAAATTTAAAAGTGGGACTCTAGGTCAGAGCTTTAAGAAGATTTCAAGTCTGAATAAACAACAAGAAAAAAAAGCAGATTTGGGGATCAACGCAAAAATGGATCAGACACTGTGATCTTGCAAGAGTCAGAGTCTTCCATGGTTTGGAACCGAGAAGATAAGAAAGCCTTTCTGCCAGGCTTTTTAACAACTGGCAGCCTAAGACATGGAAGCACAAAAATGTCAGGAGCTCAAATGCTATACATTGGATATGCACAGCAATTTTTCTATATGCTTGAAAATTTTCCTAATATAATGGTGAGAATATTAAAGAGGGATTTATTAGGGAACTATTAGGACACTGACCAGCGTTGGAGTTTTGGTCCAGGGTGTTGCTTTGTGTAATTCCTCGCAAAAGGATAAAAGCAAGTTCCTTCTATAGATGAAGTAATGAAATAATCAAAGTAGCCAATATGTATTGAGCACTTACCTTGAGCTCTGCATACCTTATCTTATTGAATATTCACAATCAAGCTATAAGGTAGGTAACTTATTATTTCCATTTCAGAGAACGAAGGCAGAGTGAGGCTTAGAAATGTGTCAAAGTCATCACATAGCCAGCAAGGGACAGAGCCAGCATTCAAACCCAGGGCTTATTTGAATATAGCTCCTATTCTGCACATTCTTTTTTATTACTATTGTTGATTTCAGAGAGGAGGGAGAGAGAGAGAGAGAGAGAGAGAGAGAGAGAGAGAGAGAGAGATCAGTGATGAGAATCATTGATTAGCTGCCTCCTGCACGCCCCCTATTGGGGATTGAGCCCAAAACTCCGGCATGTGCCTTGAATGGGAATCAAACCGGTTCATAGGTCGACACTCAACCACTGAGCCACACCAGCCAGGCTGCACATTCTTTCAAGGCCACCGTGAACTCCAGAGACCAACAGGGCTGCCATATACTTATAACATGACTGAATGTGTTCTGGAACTCTCAACAGATTTAGAAAGCTTCCTGAAAACATGCAAGTACTAAACCTTCACGTTAAAAGCAGAAAGGGGTCACAGGGTCCAAACTCGGGTTCAAACCCTGGCTCTGCCACTTAAGTCACATCACCTAGCAAGCTCTAGTTTTCCCATCTAAAGAAGGGAGCCACCTCGGGAGGTTGTGGTGGAGATAGAATGAGATGGTGCATTTAAAGTTCTTCCACAGGAGCATGGCAATCCACCACTAAAAGACACCATTGTGGGTATTATTTTTAAACTTGCAGGAGGCAGAGACCCTCGGCCTTGTTATGCCAAAGTACCAAAGCCAAAGGCGTTTGAAAGAATGAAACAGGAGGAAAGACCAATATTTTAAAAGGAGGTTGGGAGCACTATGTATTCCAGGTGCAAAACTAAGACAATTGATTGTTATTTCAACTTGAACCCACAAGAACCAGAATACAACTGAGCCATTCCAGGAAGATTTTCTGAATTTGTCATTACAGGCATGAAGAAAGCACACACACACACACACACACACACACACACGCTTCTACAGGGTGAAGGCTGGAAAAGAGCACATTCACAATAGTTGGGTCCAACGTAGCTCTGAGATTGGTGCTGAGCAGGGTCACTCACTGCGAAGGCAGGAAGCTGAGGGTCCTGGAGGAGGAGGAGAGGGCCTTTCCCCGCCCAGCAGCAGGCATGGTCTAGAGCAGGCAAGGCAAGGGCAGGGGCAGAGAAAGCGCCCTGGGTTTGCAGGGAGGGCTGGTGACCCCGGGGTCCCTGCGGCTGCCTCTATACTTTGAGGGCAGGAGTTTCATTCAACTATTGCATCCTATTAATTAAAAGCAAAAATCCTTGTTTTATTTGGAAATGTTGTTGACCCCTAAATACCGTGGAGAGACCGAGCAAACACAGTAAGTCGGTTTCTGAGCTACCTTCTAGGATTGTGCCCAAAGCGAAGACTTTGAGTCGAGGAAGGAAGGAGAGAGTGTGCACAGGGTTAACCTCCCTCTAGTCTAGCCCCTTTCTTCGCACCCGGAACCCAGGAGAAGGCGGGGAAGGAACGCTGGGCATTCCAGGTGTGCCCTGAACCTCGTGCCGGGAGAAAGGCACCGAGGAAACCCAGAGGACACTCCCCCCTCTCCAGGGACGTGGGCGCTTTCCAGGACGGACCAACGGCCCCAGCGTCCTAGCGCACCCCGGGCGGATAGCGCACCCCGGGCGGAGAACGGACTCTCCACGCTCAGCTGTGGGAAAGACCCTACTTTCTAGGACGAGCTGAGAGCTTACAGATCCGGGGCTCCCGAGTCCACCCCAGGCTCTCTGCCGGCTGCCTCCAGGTGCAGCCCAGCCCAGAGAGTCCCCTTTTGTTCCTGGGAGAGCGTGTAGCAGAGCGGCGCATCCCTCCCTGCGCTGAAAGCCCCGCTGCGGGGGCGCTTCCCCGGGTCCGCTCCCTACGGTGCCTGCGTCCCGAGACCCCTGGCTACAGGGCGCGGATCCCCAGATGCACCCTCCTTCGTCGGAAGTACTCACTTCTCCCCAGTCCCTCCGCTTTCCACGCCGTCTCCTCCACCGCTCCATAGCGCCTCAGAGGCTTCTCAGCTTCCAGATGGATAGATAAGGACTGCTTTAGTTCCATCGCTTATCCCCGTGGGCAGGTCGATGGGTCTCCCCTTACTCCATCCCTGCCGCGGGCTGCTGGGAGGGAGGCGGCTCCAGCCAGCAGCGTTTTAAGGGGCCGGGCGCTCGTGACGCTGATCCATCTCTTCCGCCGGCCGCGAGGGCCTGGGAACGCTGACTGGTACCCAGGAGGGGAAGGGATGCAGGGCGCATGCGCCATGGAGGCCTGGGGGGCTGGGTAGAGAGGAAAGGGGGAGATGATAACTCTAAGGAGAACAACAAAAACAACTAAAATAGAACCAACCCAGAACAGGGCCCCTGCCCCTACTGGAGCCCATGGCGATGTTTTGCATGGGGCTGGCACTGCGTGTAGCTGCTGATATGTCAGCAGGCTGCTAGGTTTTGAGTGGGATTTGTGAGCGCGTCTCTATCTGTGGGTGATGGATCCATCTTTGTGGGGAGTGTGCAGAAGCGTGATTGTGGACCTGGATCTGTGGGCTCTGTGCTTGGCTGAGTGCGTTTTGTGTGTGTGTGTATGAGAACCTCTGTCTTTTCCATCTGTGTGTCTAGTTTGAATATGAAATGGGACAGTCTCGTGTGCAAGTACCTGTGTCTAATCGGTATGTGTTCGCATGAACTTGAGAGACCCATAAAAATATTTGGCACACAGGTGTAAAAAGGTGCTTGAAACATAGGTCTTACTGCTCAGAAACCCAGGGGTTTATCTTACTAACAAAGCATGGCAGCATTAAAGGTACTAAGTAAAATCAGAAGCTTAATTAATAAAAATTAGTAACATTTCCCAATAACTCTGTGAAACAGATACGGTGTGGTTGGCTTTGTTTTACAAAGGATGAATCTGAGGTGCAAAAGATTAAGTTATTTGCCCAAAGTCCCACACTTTCCAAGTGGTCTGGTCAGCACTTTTGGTTAAGACCAAGTGTACACTGTAACCTTAGTCATATTAATTACTTCATAGAACAATGGTAAAAATTAAATAAAAGTGCTGTGATCTCACCCTAGGTGGTTTGGCTCAGTGGACAGAGCACAGGCCTGAGAACTGAAGGGTCCTGGGTTCGATTCCGTCAAGGGCATGTACCTCGGTTGCAGACTCGGCCCGATCGGGGCACGTGGGGGAGGCAACCAATCAATGTGTCTCTCTCACATCGATGTTTCTCTCTCTCTGTCTCTCTTCCTCCCTTCCACTGTCTCTAAAAATCAATGGAAAAAATATCCTCAGCCGAAGCTGGTTTGGCTCAGCGGATAGAGCGTCGGCCTGCGGACTGAGGGGTCCCAGGTTCGATTCTGGTCAGGGGCGTGTACCTGGGTTGCCGGCACATCCCCAGTGGGAGATGTGCAGGAGGCAGCTGATCGATGTTTCTCTCTCATCGATGTTTCTAACTCTCTATCTCTCTCCCTTCCTCTCTGTAAAAAATCAATAAAATATATTTTAAAAAAATATCCTCAGATGAGGATTAACAAGAACAACAAAAATGCTGTATTCCCAAACTCGTTATATGTCTACATATGCATACATATTCAATAAAAGAAACACTGACATGACATACACCAAACTGTTGGTAGTGACTACTTAGGAAGGTTGAGATAAAAAAATGTTTTATCTGAATTCTCCAATGTCCCTACAAGGTGTATGTATTACTTTTATAATCAGGAAAAAATAAATTATTTTTTAATGCATGGAAAATAAAAAGACGAGGAGTAAATACACAAAAATATCAACAGTGATTGTTTCTAAGAGTTGAGATTTGGGGGAAATCTTTTCCTTTTTAGTTTATTTTTTTTAATTCTCCAACATCTATATTGGGCACAGGTTATATCATTCAAAAATGAATAAATGTTGTTTCCAAGAATGTGTGAGTAATACAAACCTGTAATCCTAGATGACAAAGCCTTCCCTGATACTCCAGTGCCCAGAACCCTGCCTGCTTGCATTAGTGGAGGTGATAATGCTTCAAGTGCAATAACTGGCTGAAGTAACCGTCTGCGTGGAATTATTAAGTGGCTCTCTCAGCCCTGGCTCCTCGTCCTGGCTCAGTGCCTCACTCTGCTGGGAATGCCAGGGACTCAGAGGGATGCTGGATGATTACAAAGGGCCAGGCCAGCAGGGGCCAGTGGAAAGACATGTTTATAACTGTCATTTTCAGTTGATGGAGAGGAAAAATAATGCAATATCACCTTGGTAATTTGATACTTTATCCAGCGTGTCAACAGTTTCAAATGTACATGACACTGAGCTTGTCAGGATAGCATCGTTTTAAAAAATACAGGCTTTGAAATCTGGTGGATCTGAGTTCGAGTCCCGACTCTGCCACCTGCCAGCTGTGTGACCCTGAGTGACATGTCACCATCTCTCTCAGCCTCACTTTTTTCATCTTTAAAATTCGAATTGCCCTAACCGGTTTGGCTCAGTGGATAGAGCATCGGCCTGCGGACTGAAAGGTCCCAGGTTCGATTCCGGTCAAGGGCATGTACCTTGGTTGCGGGCACATCCCCAGTAGGAGGTGTGCAGGAGGCAGCTGATTGATGTTTCTCTCTCATCGATGTTTCTAACTCTCTATCCCTCTCCCTTCCTCTCTGTAAAAAATCAATAAAATATATTTAAAAATAAAATAAAATAAAATAAAATTCGAATAGCACTACCTAAACCAGAGGACTGCCATGATGATTAAGTGAGATAATACAGGATATTACCATTATTACTATTAGATGGTACTGGCTGATGTTTTGAGTTCTGACTTTTTGGGAATATACCAATTGAAGACTTTTTGGGAATATACCAATTGAAGTCTCCAAAAACAGAAACCTATTGAAATGACACTGAGTAGAGAAATTGGACCCATTGGGCAGTGCAGCCACTTTGGAAGACAGTCTGGCAGATTCTCAAAAGGGTAACATAGTTACCATATGATCCAGCAGTTCCACTCCTGAATATATACCCAAGAGAAATGAAAAATACATCCACACAAAAATTTGTGCATGAATGTTCATAGCAGCATTATTCACAATAGTCAAAAAGGTGGAAACAATGCAAATGTCCATTAACTGATGAATGAATGACATGTGGCAATCCTAACCATGGAGTATTATTTGATAATAAAAGGGAGTGTAGTACTGATACATACTACAACATGGATAATCTTGAAAACACTGTAAGTGAAAGATGCCTGTCATAATATATGGCATACTATGTGATTCCATTTATATGAAATATCCAGAACTATATCTATAGAGAAAGTATATCTATAGCAAATCTATTGAGAAAGAAAGGTTAGTGGTTGCCTATGGCTGGGGGTGAGGGAAGATAGGGGGAAAGGGGTACAGCTAAAGGATACAAGGTTTCTTTGGGGAGTGGTAACACTGTTCTAAAATTGATTGCAATGATAGTTAAATAACTCTAGGAATATACGAAAAACCATTGAAATGTACCCATTAACGGGTGATTTTTATGGTATGTGAATTATATACCAATAAAGCTGGAACCAAAAAAAAAAAGTGACAATGAGTGAGGTTTAATCATTTAAATCACAATGTGTCACCATGAGGTTAAGGAAATGACCGGGGCCAGCCTGAGCAGCAGCCAGTAGGGAACTGCAGGGGTCTGGCCACGGGATCCAAACCTGTCCTGGTCTTGGCTGGGGTCCGGCACCACCTGACAGTGATTGTCCATCCAGCTTGTGTGTTTATGGGGATCACGAGAGGTCCCGTGGCGGACTGGAATTTGCACAACTGTGACAGATTCCAGGAATCCCCTAGTTAGTTGCTCCATTGCATTGGCCTAATTCAGAAAAAAATGTAGGCTGGGAAAACACCTCCCATCCATTATCCCACCCTGCCCACCCTTCTGTCTCCCACTGAATGTGTACTTTGTCCAGCATTTTCATGGGGTTTTCCTGAATTAGTCATCTTGCAACTAGCAAATAGGCTATCTGTTAGCAAGACTATATTTATACTTCTTTATCTGGCAGTGGTCATAAAAGTTTAAATTGTACAAATACAATCATGAGAGAAAAAAACATTAGAAAGACCATTTTCTGTTCCCATTATGTGTCTGATAGAAATGTATAATGGTGCAGCCACTTTGGAAGACAGTCTGGCAGATTCTCAAAAGGGTAACATAGTTACCATATGATCCAGCAGTTCCACTCCTGAATATATACCCAAGAGAAATGAAAAATACATCCACACAAAAATTTTGTGTTGTGTTGTGTTGTTTTATTTTCAAAAAGGAAGGGGGAGAGATAGAAACATCAATGATGAGAGAATCATTGATCGCTGCCCCCTGTACAAACCACACTGGGGATATGCCCTGACTGGGAATCGAACCATGACCTCTTGGTTCATAGGTCGAGGCTCAACCACTGAGTCACAACAGGTTGATGTGTCTTTGTTCCGTTTTAAATCATGGAGAAAAGGAGGGAAAGTGGGTGTGGATACGCATTTAAATTGTTCTAACTCTTTCTTAGCCTCACAAAATAGGCTCCTTTGCCCTGGCTGGTTTAGTTCAGTGGTTAGAGTGCTGATCTCGGGTTGGATTCCCAGTCAAGGGCACATACCTGGGTTTCAGGTTCAGGAGGCAACCTATCGATGTGTTTCTCTCACATCGATGTTTTTCTGTCTCTCCCCCTCCTTTCTCTAAAAATCAATAGAAAAGAAAATATCCTCAGGTGAGGATTACAAAACAAAAAAAAGGGCTCCTTCCCTAACATCCCCAATTTTTCAAAATAGATCGTTCTTTTTAGTTGATTGATTGATTGATTGATTGATTTCAGAGAGGGGGAGGGAGAAAGAGATAGAAACATCAATGATGAGAAAGAATCATTGATCGGCTGCCTACTGCACACCCCCTACTGGGGATCAAGCCCGCAACCCAGCACGTGTCCTTAACCGGAATTTAACCTGGGACCCTTCAGTCTGCAGGCTGATGCTCTATCCACTGAGCCAAACCAGTTAGGGCTAGATCGTTCTTTTATAAAAAGCCTATCATTTATCAGTTTTGTCTCTCTTTGATTCCTGGGAAACATTTAGAAATATTTGAAGGAAAGAAGTCGCTAGCCATTTAAATGGACTTCCCCCCATAATCCATGGGGTGCTATGCCTTGTGTTCTGGCTGAATCACAGCCTGTCAGTCATGCACAGTGATTACAGAAACAGCAGAGCAACCAGAGAGGAATTTATCTGTGTTTC